CAGCCTTTGCCACTCCTGATGGCCTGTTCCAGTACAGGATCATGCCTTTTGGCCTCCATGGAGCCCCAGCCACTTTCCAAAGGTTGATGGATAAGCTGCTCAGGCCCCACACCAAATATGCCGCCGCATACTTGGATGATGTGATCATTCATAGCCCAGACTGGGAAAGCCATCTGGACAAAGTACAGGCAGTGTTGGACACTTTTAGAAGAGCGGGACTGACAGCCAACCCCTCTAAATGTGCCTTGGGCCTAGCTGAGGCTAGATACTTGGGTTATCTGGTTGGCAGAGGACTTGTTAAACCGCAAATGAACAAGATAGGAGCTATACAGAGCTGGCCCAGACCGCTGAGGAAAAAACAAGTCAGAGCCTTTTTGGGGATTGTAGGCTACTATCGGAGGTTTATTCCTCACTTCGCTACAAGGGCTGCTCTGCTCACTGACCTTATTAAAGCCAGAAGTCCAGACACGATAAAGTGGAACAGCGAGGCTGAGGAAGCCTTTTCTGGTCTGCGGGCAGCGCTTTGTGCCCAACCTGTGCTTGTGACACCCGACTTTAGGAAGGAGTTCTTTCTCCAGACCGATGCCTCAGAGGTGGGTTTGGGTGCCGTTTTATGTGGGTGACGAGGAACATCCTGTTCTATATTTGAGTCGGAAGTTGTTACCTCGAGAACAGCACTATGCCACAGTGGAAAAGGAGTGTTTGGCGATTAAGTGGGCAGTAGAAACACTCCGCTACTATTTGTTGGGTAGACGGTTTACCCTGGTCACGGACCATGCTCCGTTGAAATGGATGCACACCAACAGGGACAAGAACACTCGGGTCACAAGATGGTTTTTGTCCCTACAGCCCTTTACTTTTGTGGTGCGACATAGGGCAGGTCTCCTCCACGGTAATGCGGATGCTCTGTCCCGAATACATGGGTTTGCAGAGGTGGCTGCTTCCCACGCTGGTGTTAAGCTGGGGGGGGGGAGGATATGTGACAGGGTACACGATTCTGTGTATGTCAGTGAGAGGTTGAAAAGGGCAGCTTTCCCTGGCTGGGAAAGGGTTAAGCCTGGCCAACAGGTAAACCTCGTCTCTCTCTATTAATTAGCCTGCACCTGATAGTGACTGGGAGGGGGAGAGAGCTCAGAGCAAGATCCAGGTTGCACTGGATGGACACAGACTGGAGAGTGTCTGCATATCTGGGGAATAAGGTCTGCCAGAACAACTGTATGTATTGGACTATGGTTTTTGTTAATTTATACTGGAAGCTGGAATAGGCGCTCCAGTAGGACACTACTGTTTAGTTAGCCTCCGAAGGTGGAGTAGGCCTTTTTATTTGTGTTACTTTTGAGTTTCTTCTGGAAATTGTTTGTTTAACGGAGACTTTTACGTTGCATGCAATAAAGCTGCATTTATTGCCAAATACTGATGAAAGACCAGTGACTTTCCTACAATACTGACAGCTGCACTGCGTTACATACTGACCGCTGCTCTGCATTACATGCTGGCCGCTGACTTCTGCACTGCGTTATGTACTGGTGGACGCACAGATACCAGTGTTGGGGAAAGTGCCCTG